GGAACATATGGAAGAGAAGTCGCTCTATGATTGTGGTGATCTATCACCTGGATCAAACACACCCGGCTTTCACACGTTTACCAACCCGGAGGAGGGTGATATGGAAGTGGAAGAGCGCCACGTTGGGTTCTCCGTTGCCGCAGCGGGTGACGTCGATGGTGATTCATACGCAGACTTTCTCATTGGAGCGCCTGGCTTAGACCATGGTTCAGGAAAAGTATTCATTATGCTCGGTAAGGACGACTGGGATAAAATAGAGAACACAAAACACGCCATCCCTATTGTCTCGAGTCTCCGGCGCGGTGCACTTGGTACTGCGGTTGCAGGTGCCGGTGACATCAACAACGATGGTTTGGACGACATTCTGATTGGAGCTGCGAATTCACTCAGCTCGACCAGTTCTGAGCCGGGAACGGCTTATGTTCTTTATGGCACTGCCTCACTCAGCGACCTCTCCTACAATCAGGGGGTGTATGGCTCTCATACAGAAACGAAGGAACCAAACCAAGCCGGCATCGACGTGCGCCAGCTCGATGGCAGTGATGGCTTTGGCCTTACGGGCACCGAAGTTGGTGCCATGGCAGGTGCATCGGTTGCCTTTGGCAGCTATGACGTCAACTCGGATGGCGTCGACGACCTAGTCGTGGTGGAACCAGGAGCTCATCAGGCTTATCTCCTATTTGGTCTGTCCCTTGAAGCGACTCCTGAAATTGCGCCCCCCTCACCAACAAGCAAGCCCACATCTGCAACACTTGGCCAACCAACGACCGCGCCGACGACGTTGGAACCAACCCCAGCGACCTGGCCACCAACGTCGACGAAGAAGCCCACGGGCGGCTTTCCAACAGCAAAGCCTACGCTGCAGCCTACCTCCAGGCCGACGCACATGCCCACCGGCGGGTTTCCCACCCCGATGCCTACGGAGACGCCCACCACAGCTTTCTCTTTCATATCAGTTGGCTATGTCCAGGCCACCATTCGCATCACTGACATGTCTGCCGCGAACTTCGGATCACTCGAGACCATTTCCGTGCAGTATGCGGTGTACGACATCCTTTTCGATGGATACATCACCAGCCCCCAAAATGTGACCGAGGTGGTCGCGATAGACATCGCATCGATTGACATCTCTTTCTACCTCGCAGTTGACTCTCCCAGCGACCTAGCTGAATCTGAATTTGCACTTGTAGAGGATATCTATACCTTACTGAATGAGGCCGTCGACTCTGGCTATTTTGAAGAGCGGCTCATATATTGGACCGCTTTCTTTGAGGCTGATGGTAACCTGGCATCTCTTGACGCCAACATCACGTCTTCCCTCCTCATTCCATCGGCAACATACTTCACCACATCCAACACGATGCCGCCTACGTCTGCCCCCCATCCTCCCACTGCAGATCCTACTATCATGCCTACTGACGCCGCCACAGCTTCCACCGATGACTCAGCGGGTGATGATACCACCCCCACGGGCGACGATGATGCTACCGACCCGACGGGCGACGACGATGTCTCTGCCCCAACGGGGGACGACGACGCCACGGCCCCGACGGGCGAAGATGATACCACAACCGCCTCCCCAGGCAACGATGACGCTACTGCTCCCACGGGGGACGACACCTCCGCCTCTACGGGCGACGACACAGATGACCCCACTTCGACGGAGGGGGAGGGCAGTGATGATGGCTCCTCTTCTGATGATGATGGCGCTTCCCCTGTGGGTGACGATGGTGTTGCTGAAGAGGATGACGACGCTACCACCTCCACCGACGATGCCAACCCTGTGGGTGACGGCGACGACGCGACTTCTGTGGACGATAATACTGCCCCGGTGGATGATGGCGGCGGCTACAACGACCCCGACAACGGTGTGTCCAATGATGACAGCTCCGAGGGTGATGGTGATGCCGCCACCACCACCGACGACAACACGACACCCACTGGCGATGGTGATGACGAGGCCACCTCCACGGGCGCCGGCGACGACGACACCGCCTCTACGAGCGATGGCGGTGACGGTGACGACGCGGCCTCCACGGGCGGCGGCAGCAACGGTGACGACGCCGCTTCCACGGGCGGCGGCAGCGACGGTGACGACGCCGCTTCCACGGGCGGCGGCAGCGACGGTGACGACGCCGCCTCCACCCGCGACGATGGCATCGGTGACGACACCTCCGTGGCTGATCAGGATCCCACGCCCGCACCACAACCTGGAACCGGGACAATCTCAACATCGAGTAAAAGTGACGACGACGATGGTGCAGACTC